TTCCGAAGAAGAACGAGCAGGAGCGCGACGGGCAGAAGAAGAAGAACAAGAAGGAGAAGAAAGCGGAGTCGGAGAACCCGGCTGGTGACAAGCCGGACAAGAAGCGCAAGCAGCACGAACAAGCTGTTGAGGCCCTTCCGGCCCCTCCCTCCTGCAACTGAGCTTGTGTCCCGTTTGTCATGGCCTTTTGTTGTGATTATATGATGTAGCTTGAGGTTTTGCAAACAGAACATGTAGACGATGTAGACGCGAGGAGGAATCCGACGAGGCGAGCGACGTTGACGGAGAGAGCGTCGAGGAGACCAGCAGCGAGGCGAGCGAGGAGGAGGAGGACTCCGAGCAGAGCAGCTCGGAGGAGGAAGTGGTTCCAGCCGGCCCACCACCGGCCACTCCCAAGGGGGCACCCTCAGCGCCACCCACCCCGAAGGGCCCAGTCTCAGCACCGAAGAGCAGTGCACCGGCGCACCAGCTTGTCGAGGCCACCCAGGCGACTGAGCAGCAGGCCCGAGTGGGCATGAACAGCATCTCGGCTAGGACTATTCCCTCCGAAACCTTCAGAGGATCAGTCGGGTTTAGTTAGTGCAGAGCATGGACTCTTTTTTTCTCATCCCAGCCCAGCCCAGGTGTGACACACCACAAGGAGTGGAACGCCTTCAACAGGCAGTGCCAAAACCGCAAGGTTTTCCCGGTTCAGCTGACAAATCAGCTGCTTCGCAATAAGCAGGATTTGTTCCAGACCTGGATGGAAAGCGGAAAGGATTGGGACCGTGTTGTCCTTTCCGTGAACCGGACGAACACGCAGCGCAACGTTTCCGCGAGTGGATGGAAAGCCGAGCAGGGCAAGACCATCAAGGCAGCCTGGAAGGGCGACGAGCAGAAGTTGAAGAAGTTGCTCAAGTCCCGTGTCGACAGCGGCCTCTACTACGACGACCCGGACTTTCCTGACGATGAAGACGTCATTTGTCTTCAACTGCTTCATAAGTATACGGGATAGGAACAGATTGTGGTGTCGAGGGTGGTTTTTACGGAGAGGGCAGAGGGGCCTATACATGTTTCTGTGCCCTTTTACAGAATGAAGATGCAAGGAGCGCTGGTACTACATGCGTAAGGGAGCCGAGCTTACGCACGAGAACGAGACAGCGAACCAGATCAACCTCAAGGCTGAAGCTGACGTGCAGGATGCGGAGGCCTTGAAGATCCTCATCGATGGTGAAGAGGGTGTCATGCGTGCTGGCCAGCTGCCAGAAATGCCTACCACCGGGAATGGATCAAAGTCCCTCTTCGAGGCCTTTGATGCAGTCATGGCTGCACCGAAGAAGAAACCGAAGAAGGACGAGCAACCGGCTGAGCCTGCCGAACCCAAGACCGTTCCGGAGCATCTTGTGTGCAGTTCATTACTACCACCACCACTACTACTA